ATGCCTAACATCAAATTTAATTTTTATTTTATTTATTTTTCAGAAGTTTTATTACCGATATCTCTTGTCTATAGGATATTTTCCTCCAGAACAACTAGGTGGAGGACTATGATAAAGTTAAGCTATACTTATAGGCATCTCCGGAGGACTATGATACATTATAATCAACAGAATGGATGATTAAGATTTAGTTGCTAGGATGTTACACCTACGTACAAACTACAAACTCGTTCCCTTTCGAAAATTTTCTCCAATCTATCAATGTCAACAAATTCATCAATATTCTAAAATATCCATCAACATAATCATTATTTCTAAGATAATAAGTATAAAAAATTAAGACAGTTCACAATATATAAAAAATGCATGGAACTTCATTTCAGTTTATGAATTTTAGGTACTATGAGCCTTGTGATATATCCAACCACAAAAACTTGAGTCCTTTTACTGATGTAAAAGGTGCAGCAAATGATACCAATATGTTCTTGGCCTGACACCAAATTAAATACCATAAAACAATATATAAAAAGCTGTTAAATACATGTTTCAGATTCTTAAGACTATCTCATATGTACACTAATGTCTGATCCATGATGGAAAGCTGCAAACTCGTGTATACATGTGTGTGTCTGTAAGAGGGATGGAGCCAGAAATTAAATTCAGTAAAAATTTTACTTTTTTTTAAAGGAAATTAAACAAATTTAAAGAGAATTTAAAAAGTGAAAAAAGAGGAAAAAAAAAATACAAATTTAAGAGATAATTTTAAAAAATAAAAAATTTAAAGGAGGCATTATATAAATTTTTTTATAAACACATATAAAAATATATAAATTTAGTATATATTTTATAATAAGCAGGCTAAATCAGAAGGGCACTGTGTTCCGGGCTTACATGGCTCCGCCCCTGTAGGTGATATAATATTGTGATTTGTGAAGAGAAAAAGGTGGTGCACTGTACCATGAAATCTGTTATTCTCTCCTAGTCAACGTGTAACCTGTCAACTAAAGTTTGTTTAGAGAGGAAGACATTTGGTACAATTGTTGTAATGAATCTATTTAGATTGGGGGTGAATCCGTGAGGTCCCAAAGAAGCATAGGGTGCATGGGTTGCACGTGAAGTGGATTAATTATATTCTTTAAAAAAGGCTATGAACACGTGTTATTGTGATGGTTAATTTGATTCTTTTAGATTATTAGATAAGAAAAAAAAAAAAAGAAAAAAGAAAAAAAAGAGCGCACGTGGCACCTCATTCCATGTGGGAAGAAAGTGTAACAACTTTTGTTACCCTACCGTTTAGGCAAGCATGTAGGTGCAGGACCTAAATCATAGTGAGTCCCACATCTGGCATGTCTCTATTTGGCTGCTGCCTAATGACTATTTATTGTTTTTTACTTTTGGCCCTTTTTATTTTTAAGTTTTGTTTAGTGTGTTAATTAGGATTATAAAACTCGAATCCCTTACCCAACTTCTTCAACAACTATACATCGTTCATGTAATAAAATTAAAATCTTTTAAAAAATATCCAGTGGTGATGCACATAATACATTCGTCATTAGTACATGATACTTTAAAAAACACGATGACCATGAATGATGATTACTATCTCCTCATAAATTCAGAATTTATTTTTAAATCACAACTTAAATATTTTTCAACATCAACAAACTCCAACCAAAGAATAACCTTTGAATACACAAACGGCAGGAGAACACTTATTCCCTACTAGAAACCATAACACTTGAAATAAGCTCAAAAGTTCTAAAGAGATTTGAAGTTGTATGTTCATTTTCCCAAACCAGCCTGTCAAGCAATGGTGTCTAAAAGTGATAATCAAGGTAAACTAACACATGGTAAATGACGCAACGTCCCTTAACTTACATTAATGCAAAAATAATACAACCTCTGGAATTACAAATGAACCGAACCAAGCCGAACCTTAGACTGTTCGAACTTGGGCTCATTTGCTTATAGATCGGATCGGGCTCAACTCATTTAAGAAAATAAATTGAATTTATAATCAAAATTTGTTCAAACTCGTTTCGAACTCGCCAGCTTGTTTAATAAATTATTTTATATTTATGTTATACTTTCAAAAATTAAAGAATTTCATTGAAAAATAAAAAATAAATGTAAACTAGAACTATAACGAGCCTACAATTCATGAATATAAACGAGCTTACACAAGCTCATGTTCATGTACATAAATGAGCCTACACGAGCTCATGTTCACGAGCCGAGCCTAGCATTGCTTAGGATCGACTTGTTTATTGAACGAGCTTAGAAATCGAGCTCGATCTTGGCTCCTTTGTTTAACAAACGAGCCCGAGCCAAGCCTAAGCTATTTATCAATAACTCAATTCATTTGCAACCCTAATAACCTCGATATATATCTTTAGAATTACTTTTATAATACTAGGAAAATGCACGTGCGTTGCACTAATTTTTCTTTTTATATATTTTTTAATTATTTATAATTTTCATTGTATGATATTGTCATATATTAAATGAATTCATATCAACAATGTTTAGAGAGTAATAATGGCCACCTCAAAAGAAACTAAATAAGGTTTTCCATTGATGGATCAATCATCTAAGTATGATATATTTAGAAAATCCGATGTGTTAGAATTTTATAAAAAATATATTTATTAGGTAATTTGGAAATGATGATTAATTTTATTAGGTAATTTTCAGAATTTTATAGAAACTATTTTCATAAACCCTATTGATAAAAACTCTTTTTATATCAATTGATAAATATTTTATATTAATTAATAAATATTTTATAGTTTTATAGAAACTCTTTTTATAAAAACTCTTTTTATATTAATTAATTAATATATATATATATATATATATATATATATATATATATATATATATTATTTTGTGTTAGAGTTTTATAGAAACTCTTTTAATAATAGTATAGATTTTTTTATACTAATTAAAAATATTTTATAGTTTTATTGAAACTCTTTTTATAAAAAATATATTTGTAATTTGAATTTTTATTAGGTAATTTGTAATTTGAATTTTATTAGGTAATTTAAAATGATGATTATTTATTTATTTATTTATTTATATTTTGTGTTAGAGTTTTATAGAAACTCTTTTAATAATAGTATAGATTTATTAGATAATTTTTAATTAAAATTTTATTAGCTAATTTTTAGAGTATTATAGAAACTCTTTTTATAAAAACTATCTTTGTAATTTAAATCTTATTAGGTAATTTGTTTTTATATTTTGTGTTAGGGTTTTATAGAAATTAGATTTATTAGGTAATTTGTAATTTGAATTTTATTAGGTAATTTGAAAATGATGATTAATTTTATTTGGTAATTTTTAGAGTTTTATAGAAACTATTTTTATAAAAACTCCTTTATAGCTTATATTAAAAAATATCTTATAAATATTTTATAATTTTATAGAAACTCTTTTTATAAAAAATATTTTTATATTAATTAATAAATATTTTTTTTGTAATTTGTGTTAGAGTTTTATAGAAACAATCGAAAATAAAAAATAATAAAAATTGAAAAAAAAATAACATATAAAAAATAATATATTAAGAATGAATCAAAAAAAAAAAAAAAAAACATATAAAAAATTTTCATGCGGTGCCATATAAATATTAATTCATAATAAATAGATAATTTAAAATCAAGTTCAACCGAAAATAAAAAAACGTTGAAACCCAGACTCAAAATAATATATTAAGAATGAATCAAAAAAAAAAAATAATAAAAATTGAAAAAAAAAAAAAAAAAAAAAAAGCCATATAAAAAATTTTCAACAATAAATTCAATTCAAAATCAAGTCCAATCGAAAACCAAAAAACATTGAAACCTGTATTTAGAATGAACTAAAAATAAAAATAAAAACTGAGAAAAAAAAATTACAATCCAAAGTAAACTTATAAAAAGTAAAAAAAAAATAAAAACTAAAAAAAAAAAAGAATAATGATACTTCTGAAAAATAAAAAGTAAAGAAAAAAAATAACAATAATGACTCAAAATAATAATAAATTATGAATGAACCAAAAATAAAAAAGAAAAAAACATCAATTAGAAGGAGAAAAATAAAAATAAAACAAAAGAGAAAAATAAAAATAAAACAAAAGAAAAAAATAATAATAATGCTTCTAAAAAGAAAAAGTAAAGAAAAAAATTAACAATCCAACCTTCTCAATACAACAAATTAAGAATAACAAATTTCGAACCATCCAATATATAATTACAAAGAGCAAAACAAAAATAACGACTAAAGAAAAAAGAAGAATGATACTTCTGAAAAAGAAAAAAATAATAATAATGACTCAAAATAATAATAAATTAAGAATGAACCAAAAAAAAAAAAAAATCAACTACTTCTAAACATAAACATCAATTGGAAAGAGAAAAAAATAATAATAACATAATAATAATGCTTATAAAAATAAAAAGAAAAAACTTACTAGACTAATTATAAAGAAAAAAGAAAAAATATGCACACCACAAACCTGACCTAATATATATATATATATATATATATATATATATATATATATATATATATACACATGTGGTTATATGTAATAGAATTTTATTGAAAATAAAATTGGTAACTGAAATTTTATTAGGTAATTTGTGTTAGAATTTTATAGAAACTCTTTTTATATCAATTAATAAATATTTTTTTAATATTTTTTTATATTAATAAATAAATACTGAAATACTGAAACTTTTTGCACATTTAATAATAGTATATATATATATATATATTCATGCAAATCTTACACACTTATTTTAAATATATATACATATACACACAGACAAGGTGTTATTATTGAGCCCACCCTATATGTATATGATGCTAAAGTCAAGCTCTCCACTTGGCCTTTTTTGTTTATATAAATATATATATGCATTCAGAATTTACAATATATGAAATAGAACAGTTCTTGTTCCAAAAACTAAAAGTCAGCCTAGAATTATCACGATTCATTAACCAGTGCAACATTCCAAACCCTGATTCTTGGACCATTAGTCGGTTCCAATATTAAGTAAATGTAACAAGTGCAACTTTAAATAAACAGGCCAACAGCTATAGTTGGTCACTTGCATTTTGATAGTACAAAAACACACATTATCTACATCTTTAAAGTTAGAGATTGAGAAAGATAGACGACTAATCACTAACCAAACAAGAAACTACAGCATAAGCTGGATACCATTGACCCTCTTCTAATCAGAGCTTCCCCAGGCTAAATTCTTCAACAAAATCAACCACTTGTAGTTGACTTGTAGTGAAATTCATCAATTGTGGAGTATATCAAGCCTTCCTCTTCAAGAATTCGGATGGATTCCCTGGCACAGACAACATGGAAAAAATATGTATTGAGTAAATGGACGCGCACGCGCACACACATACACACAGTCAGACACAGAGAGAGAGAGTACAAGATCTTCTCCGATGGAAGTTTTAGATGCTTAGAAAGCTCATCAGTGTGTACACCCTTTTCTCTTCCGCTGCAAACACGAAATGTTCCCAAAGGTTCAGTAGATCAAGCATATAACAAGAATGTTAAATAAAATATTTAGTAAAGCTAAACCTCAATTCTTAACGATACTAACAATATTATAGTTGCATGCAGGGAAAGTAAACAGGCTCTACTGAAGTGTGAAACGGGATACTAATCACACTAAAGTCTTGAAAATGAGTTATAGGATAATCTGCAAAGGATTGATTTTCAAAGAGCAACTCACAAGTTTGAAGGTTGTTGCAGATAGTCAAGCACCATTTGATCAAAGCCCTTGAGTCCGTCAACACTAACTTGCCCAGAGTACTAGAAAATAATAAATAATAAAAAGGGTGCCATATAAACAGATCAAAAAGCAGTTCACTTATGGAAAATTAATTTTGAAAATTGGATATCTTACATGATTCGCTGCGGCTGTCTGATTACCATTAGATCCATTTTGTGCAGGTGTGTTGAGAGACGGATTCATTGTCTGAGGCTGAGTCAAGGCATCACCCTGCAGCTTCAATCAGTTATGTAACACAATTCATACACATCATGCATATCCATCTGCAATCTATTGTGTGCTTGTGATATATATAGATCACAAAGACAACAGTACTAGATATTCACACCTGTTTTTTGGAATTCTGCAAGTGGAAATGGATGCACTCAATGAAGTGGAAAGAAATCTCATCAAAATTTGTCACAGGCCTGAAAAAGATAGCATGTTGACAATTCAAGGCATCTTAGAACTATTAATCTTACAACTTCAAGAGATTTGTGTGGAGCAAAAGAAAAAGCTATGTTATACAATATAACAACTTCTAGAACAATACTAAAAGGCCTCAACCGGTCACCATTAATCAAGGGTGATGAAAGAGGTAGATTTGGCACAAGTTTAACACTAGACATTAGTTGCACAAATATGACTCTTCTCAAATTCAAACCTACATTGACACATTAGTCAGGCCGAATTTTTAAAACTGCACCATATTGGCCCCTAAAAATTTCCAAAATCATACTATTCTATTGCAGGTTGTATGTTTGTATTCCCGAATTATGGCATCTTTGACCATGTACTACAAAGAGTCATCCCTTTTTCCCCAGCCAAGGAGGAAGGCTTTGCAGGGTAGCTGACGGCATCATAAAGAATGTTATCCAGATCCCCACACGAACAATAAATTGTTATCATGGTCTATTTCTGAAAACAGTACTTTACAGGAAAGAAAAGTTACATAAATGAATTAATAAGTCTAATAGAAATGTTATGATACCTCCGTCAAATTGAAAAACCCCAAGAGGGGGGGAATTCAACTCTCAAGAATAAACCATCATACACTAAAAAGCACCAATACAGATGTGGGGCACAAATACAACACGACGGGCACAACAAATTCTAGAACACTAAGAGATGGCAACGAATAACATATATTGACGTTTATAAATATATGATCGTACATTAGTAGAATAATGATATTTTTCATTGACCTTAAAATCATACATCCATGAGTCACAATAACTAATGAGCTAAAACAATAATTCTCAGTTAAAATAAATAAATAAATAAATAAAAATAAAAATAAATCTTTTTTGAAGTAGAATTTTTTAACTTCCTTTATAAAGTTTGTTGTGATCAAAACCCTAGCCACGAGGCAGTGTAATAGAAGATGATCCATTATCTCTTCATCCCCTTTGCACATGCAACACCAATTTATCATAATCTCTCTCCTCCTCAAGATGTCAATTGTCAAGATCCTTTCTAGTACTGTTGTAACAAGGGGTGGTGCTGACTAATAAAGATAATGACTGTGCTTCTGTGTAATAGGTGCTGTTTTGACGGGTATAGGCTAGGATTAAGGTGAGAATTAAGTGTGTGTCAGGTCTATTGGCTTCCAGCATGCAACCATTTTTGTGGGAACACGACAGATAATAAGCTGGCTATTTCATAACCAACGAACATGCACAAACTCTAAAGAAACTTGCCCTAAATAAAAGTCAAAGAGTAACTGTTCTTGTCAAACACTTATAAAACATATATATTTGCAAATTTGGGTCATCACAGTTTCAGTGTCCATTAGGGATAAAACATGTGACCAGCATATAACATCTAAATATTCTAGTATATGTTTAATTTGTGCTGTACCAATATATTTTAATTTAACATGATTGCAAGCTTTTTTCAAGAAATGTGTTATCTGGCTAATGGATCTTGTAAATCTGATGGATATACCAAGGGCAATCCGGGGCAAGTGACAATGATTAAAATACCCAGTTTTTCTTCAAGTCTGTCATAATAGATTGATTCCAAGACGCTTGATCTTTAATGTCTAGGCCGAGCATGCCCTCAGAATTAGAAAGAGAATGAAGAATGAAAATGGTTTCCATTTGATAAATTATACTTTCATATGCGGAGTCCAAGGCCTTTAAAGTTGTTTTAAACCCCATAATATCTTGGCACTCACAAGCTCCACACTTGAACAGTGTATGCCTACGGCAGCAGGATAATTTTTTAACAATATTAAAATATTGTGAATATCTAAATAGTTTCTGATAAGTTAAGTACCAATATGAAGGAAACAGGCCTGTATATGCTTTCGAAAACATGCACTCGATTTCCAGAGGTGAAAAAGAAAGACATGCTGAAGAGAACTTATTTGCTGCGTGGATGAAAGTAGTACAGGTGATGGTTACCAAATGGGCCCAAAGCAACATCAAATACTTTCTTGCAAAATAACTATTGAATCTTCCCTATCAATGTCAAAAATCACCTGCAATGCATAAGACCACTGGAGAACAAAATTTTCCAACACGTTTTTATGTAATTAACGATTTAAGAGGGCACAAACCTTTTGTTCCCGTAGAGTCATCATTGTCCTAAAATCATTGTTAAACATTCTACCATATATACGAAAACTAATGACCGTTACTCCGACAAAGAAAAATAAAGGACAGGTTAGAGGAGCTATTTGACCTACTAATGTAAATTTCAAGTGCACAAAAGTACCACATCAATCAAGTTTCAAGCTTCATGGCTACAGACAGATATAAACACAAAAAAAACATATATAGCACTATGACAGGAGAAGGAAATAATAGCTCCATCTTGATAAACATTATATTCATCAAGACAAACACAAAATTATTTGTGTGAATATGTATATATACTATATTATCTGATCGAAGGCTGGCATGGCAGCCACAAGATTATATCCAACAAACTTAAATGCTTTTAGTCAATGTCTTCCAACAACTCTATTGCTTAACAACGCATTAATTAATCCATTGTTTTTTCAAGTGAAGAAGAAAGGGGTAAAAGTATGATCTTCTCAGGCAGTAACATAAAATATAACAAAACTCTTAAAAATATATGAAAATGAAATTATGTATAAATTATATACTGCTATTGATAATCCTAGAACCAAAACATAACATGCATTAAGAATGGAAATAAAAATATGATCTTGCAGCTACAAAATAGTATCTTCCCCATGTCTTTCTTGTAAATAAACCTAAGGAAACTTCCTTTGTTTATTTCCATTTAATTTACAAGCAAAAAATATCAAAGCTAGTGAAGTTGCAGCCATTAATTGATCATTTCTTAGAATGACTATAACCTAACTTAAGCAAAAAATAACAATACAAAACAGAAAAAGGATAAAAACAATAGAAACAAAACACCAAGAACGAAAACAAAGGAAAAGATCCTAACTGAAGCCTAGGATAGAACACTCCGACCACCAAAAATTGCATAAAGGAAATTGCTCTGAATCACGATTAAATTCAAAAATGAAAATAGAAGTTCAACTGCCATACTAATTCTTCAAACCTATTTTGTTAAAATATCTAGTTATTGTTGCCAATATAAAACCGTGGTAAGTGGTTTTATGGTCATACAGAAACATTTTGATTGAAACAACAAATAACAAAAAATGACAGCAAAGTTGCATAAAATTATATGTTTTAAATGTTATGTGCAAACATTTTTCAAAAGCATTTTAGGCATATCTCAAGATTTTCCATACAAATAATAAAAAAGTTATTGTCAAATCCAATGATTGAACATCCTTATCCTTTACTAATCAATCAAACACGGGGCTGTAATGCACAAATTTTAGACACTAGGTAAATTCATCACTATTATTTTCAACCCCAACCCCCATATGACCTCCCATTCATGGAAGTGCTTAGGCACAACAAAATAAATATCCCATATTAAGGAAAGTAGAATGTCATTAGCATCTACTTTAGTAACAATAGAATTAGTTAAAAAACTTATTTTATTAGATGATCATATTAATATATAAAGTCCCAAAATAATTTTAGTATGCATTGCAATCCAATGTATCATGTTAAATGATATAACTTGTCATAAAGTAAAATGGAAATAGCGTATAATTAATGTCGCATAATTGGGTATGTCACACTGAACAAATGGTGGCCTGTGATGCCCCCTTATATACCTAATGTAGAAAACAAGTAGTCAAGCCAACACAATGCACTGAGAACAAGTATTCCTCTTCTTGATTAAAATGCCCTTACCCTCCTTGCAAATTTCACACTCCCATTCTCTCACTAAAAACCCTAATCACCAAAAACCCAATTCATCATGCTTCTTGTGGTGATTTTGAAAGCTTTGAATATGTTGTGTGAGACCAAAAACAAAAATCATTTATTAAGAGGATTGGTACCCAAGCAATGGCAACGCCACCAACATCAACAACAGTAGTCAATACCATAATTAGAGCAGTGGTCTTCATCTTAATGTTTCCACTGATGGTTGTCTTCTTCATCTCAATTTGTACAGAGAAGTGGGACACGTAGAGGGTGAAAGGAAATAGAGTACTGATTGTACTATTACTAATTGCTTCTATTCCAATTTCTTTTGTTTTGTTGATCGAGTTGTGTTAATGAATGCAAATCTTTGTAAATGGTGGACGAAAATGGAAGAAAGAATTACAATTCCTTTCTTCTGAGGGATACTATATTTGTTAATTTTTTGTTTACTGGGTAACCAATCTTTTTGTTTGCGCTTCCAAATAAAAAAATAAAAAATTCCCTGAACATTTGATGATCATTTCATATCTCTAATCAATTTACTTCTTGATTATCTGTGTGTACATAATATATATATATATAAAGAATAATTGTAAATTTACAAGGTCAAAGGGTATTTAAGTTATTTCAATCATTTTTGTAAGTCAACATAAAGTCAAAAGGGTAGCAATGTCATTTTACATGCATAAAGTGTTGTGACACCACTGAAAAAAAACTTTTGGGGGTATGAGTGAAAAACATACCAAACGTTTGTAACGTGAGTGATGGCAAATTTCAAAAGGTGTTTCAATGTGATATTTGGCCAAACCTGAGGGAGTGTCAGTGAAATTAACCTAATAAGAAAATATTTGCAAGGTTATTAACACATTTCCGGACATGCTATACTAAATATAACCCATCACGAATTGACTAAATATAACCCATCACGAATTGTCATATAAATATCATCTCTATCTACATGCCAATTGTTCACCATAATACGGCAACCAATTAAAAAGAACAAAAAATAAAATCAGAAAAATATAAACATAATGGAACAATCAAAACAGATAAATTTTGAATTCATACCTTACAGAAAAAGCCACTAACTGTCTGTTGCCTTGGAAAGTTTTTAAATGCCCATTAAGACGAACATACATTCCATCTCTATATCAGAGAAAACCAAAAGAAAAACATTAGCAACCCCCAGTATCACAATAACTTATTACCATTAAAACATACATTGAGGCTCAGACTTTTTATAAAGATTTACAAGAAATTACACAATTCCGCTCTAACATTCACATAAAATGGAAAACTTACTGTATATCCTCCATTTCTTTTGCATCAAAACCTTCATTAACCCTAGAAACAACTAACACATATCAGTCCTGACTTTGTAAGACTCCCTAATGAATCTGAAGCTTGAAATAGAAAGAAGGCAATATATACATATATCATTCAGCCCAAGAAAACAGATACGTACCATCTCTTACAATCAATTCGTCCAGTTCCATCATCTAGAGCAAAGGCAACATCTGTAACCCTTTGAGTTTTATTAAACACCATTCCAACCAAGGTAACCTAACCCAACAGGAATAAAAAATCATTAATTAAAACAGATGACTTTACAAAAGCTGTCTTTGCTTTGACAGAAAAACAAAAATTCCAGGGGAAAAAAAAAACACGTTATGGCTTCTGAAAAGCAATCTCATCACATCTTGGGTTTGTATTTTCAAATGTTACCGAGAAAATTACAATCTGTTTGGAGTCATCTTTTTGGGATTTGAATTTCAAAAGGGTGAATGAGTTGGAGTGATTTGGAATTGGAATCACACTCTGAAAAGCAGTATTTCATTTTTGTTAAATAAACTGGAATTTAAGATACTAAATTAGGTTAGAGTTCGATAAACTGCAAATTTGAGCAAATCCCAAATAAAAGAAATCGGAGTATCAGACAATTTTCATGGGATTTCGAAACATTACATGGAATCCAATTCCGTTGCTAATTCGAGTCATTACAAGCAACTGAAATTCCATTTCTAAATACAGTTCCTCAAAAAATAACAAAGAATAAATAAATTAGAGACGGAAAGTTTTAAGATATAGTACATTGGTGATATCCACACCATCGATGAGAAAATTGGATTTATCATCGCCGGAATGAGATGCTTCGCTTATCTGCTTCACTGTGACTGGAATGAGCCCGTGGGTCTCGCGATTCTGCAAGTAAAATTCGGCCAAAATCAATTCGTTATGTTTGGCTGCTGAGAAAATGGAGGAATTTTAAAAACAATAATAATGATCTTAAGAATCATAACATATGTGAATTAGTGCTTACTTTGGCCGTAGAAAACCCGGAATCGTTAGCCTCAGTGGACTGAGAGCTCATAAATCCACCGCCAGAGAAGTCGGAGTTGCCATCGAACTGACTCGAGAACATCTCTGAAGCCCTAGAGAGAGAGTGACGGAGGAAGAGAGAGTGAGAAAAAATGAATTGAAATGACAGAAGATAGACTTTACAAGGAATTTCCCGCCAAATTTTCTTCGTTCCCGCTCTTGGAATAAAAAAGCCTAACCTAACCTAACCTAACCTAACCTCCCCTAGCAAAAATAGCAAAATTTTATTATTATTATTATTATTATTATTCTTTTATTATTATATATATATATATATATATATATATATAATAATAAAAGAATAATAATAATAATAATAATAATAAAATTGTTTGATAATATAAATTACATATGAATAGAAATAAGATGTATAAATTGTTACGAAATACTTAAATATATTATAATTTTAAGTTATATTTATGGTGGTTTAATTATGAACTTGATTCATTGTAATTTCTATAATTATAATGAAACGAATATTTTTTATCCTTCTCATATTTGAGATGGATCTCTTTACTAAATTTTATTATACCATCTTTTGGATTATTTTCAATTCCATATGAGCTTCAAAATTATATCAAAAAAACGTATCAGTATGCTTGTTTTGATTTTTGACAAAGGATCAGTTTTATATCAATAATTTAGAATATTTATAGTTATCATAGAGAAATTTTATCCTGTATAGTTATTTGAGAGTTCCGATGTTGTGAGAGATTTTTGTTTCTTCCAGATGTTTATAAAAGAACCTCAAAATATGCATTAATTAATGCTTTTTTGGTTAATTTGATTGATGTCTTTGAGTAACCATCATCACCTTGGTTCTAAGTACGAATCTGAAGTTTTAGTTATTCATAGGTCTTAACAATATAGTAATTCATATCAGTAACGAAGGACTAAGCCGACTTATATTTTGTCATTATCGCCACAAAGTGTACAACTAAATTGACCATTGATTTAGTTAAAAATAAAAAATAAAAATCTATTTTAGGACAGAAGAAAATCCAATCAAGATGTACTCCAAGAAAGAGTCTAAAAAATTGTAGAAAAGTAGAAAGAAACCCTTTCGATTTTCTTTTCTTTTTTTGCCAACACAGGAAAAGATATATAAAAATAAAAAAAAACACCAGACTAAAAATCCATTAAAATAGAAACACAGAATTCTGTGTCCAAAATACAAAAAATGATGATGGAAAAAAAAAAAAAAAAATGGATAAGGAAAGGAGGGAGAGGGGAGTGGAAATGTGAAACAGTCGCCCAAACTGAAGAGGCAAAGAAACAGGCCTTCAGCTTCCTCAAACCCCAAGTCAAACGACCTAAATTCCTCGGTCGATCATCCTTCATGTAGGAACATTTTATCTAGTAGTACATCCAGTGATCCATAATATGTCACATTAGAGCGCTCCGAAATTATATACCAGAATCTGAGGTAAGGGGAGGGCCGGATGCTGTTGATCCAACCAAAGAATAATAATGTTGCAGCAATGCTTAAAAAATCGTATAATTAGAGAAAATGTGCATCAAGTTGTCCAGAGTTTCGGGGTAGAATTTTCTAGCAAATAAATAGCATGGCCGCTGCATTCCATTCCACGTGCAAGGATTAATCATCGCTGTCTTCTGCAGCCATAAAACAAATGGGTTGCCATCGATTTCTCTTTCAAGTAAATAAAATACAAAAGGTTTCTACTGAATTTAAAAAAGAAAAATGGGATAAAGAAAATTATATGCCAATGTTAAGGGAATGAAGTTTGTACCTTCTGATCACTCGTAACATGCAGGTTGTCATCCGTGGACTGCAATGGATAACCAAAGGGAATGACTAACTCATAACACATAACGTGAAAAAGAAAAAGAAAAAGGATGGGAAGGAATCATACAGTGATCATTTTAAGGAGTTCATATGTAACATCTTGAGCCCTATATGATCTTGGATGCCACTTTCCTTCAGACCAATCCACATATGTTACTGACCAATTTGCCATACCGCCAGGATCGATCATCTGAAGGATGCGAGTATTTAAAAAAGCATATATGTTGGAAACTTGGGTATAATAGAAGAAGAAGATTGATATGCTTACATGGAAAAATGTTGGCAAGTAATGTTCGTCAGCATAGCAATTGCGTCCGTCCATGTTTGGCTGCAGAAAATGAACACCTTTAGGTCAGAATGGCTCTATGCATGACCCAAAACTTTTGCTTCAATTCCTTGGAGAATGGAAACCTCTGCCTAGGGTTTACCCAATACCCAACGGATTAGTCCCACCATCGAAGGGGATGGGGACAACCTGTTATCCCCACAACATAAAAATAAAATAAAAAAATCTTTAATATACCAAAATCCTTCTTGTTCAAATTAGTCACACAATGACGAAACAGGAGCTTTCTTAAGTCGTCGTTCTATCATCAGACAACATCAGCTAAGGAAGGAAAGCTGAAATAAAAAGTAGTTAAGAGAGAGCGCAGTTAATAGGTCCATTGTAGCTTTCCCTAGGGGATGCATGAAATATGTGGTGCATAGGTGACAAAATATAGTGCTATGTTCAGTCATTAAAATCTCCACAGATTCAGGTAAAAGCATCTAAAATTATGTAATGCTTAGATTGAAAAATTGACACTTAACCCAAAAACAGAATATCATCTAAATGCACCAAATATAATAATACTATATAATAGGTAGAGGTTTTGAACACAGCATTTAACAAACTCATCTTTATGTACATTCTGTACCACAATTAGGAGGAAACTTATGTGATTATTCCATCCTTGTAATACTTCATTTTGATGCATTTAAATGGATAATTTCCAACTGTTCTGATTACGAGAACGTTGGCATGATGGCTTAGCATAAAGCAGAAGGATAGGGAAATAGCAATATCCACTGCATTTACCATTGCTGCGACAATGCGGGCGGGCTATCTGACTGCAAAAGAATGACATTGGCTTCAAGTTCGAAACAAACCAGGATCCTCTTCCTTTCAGGAGCTGATTAACAACTAGATGAGATAGCTTTTTAAAATAATCAATTTACTAATAAATCTTCTATGATTTTTTATGCTTCCGTGTTTGAAAATATAACTCTGAGGCTGCAGGTTCTTTTTTGCTCAAGTCTCTGGAGAAGCAGATGATTCCTTTTAATGGAGAAAGGAGGATAGATATAGATTGAACACACCTTAGTTTTAAAGATCATAATGCATTGAACCAGAAAGTGACAGCGGCCATCTTGCAGGAAGCTAGAATCCTTCTTTATACAGAAGTTCACACTTCAGAAAGGTATCAAATTGATAAGGATGAGGGACATTAAGGTCACAGGGATAGATACAGTGAACACTACTTGTTATCTGTTGGTGGCCCAACATTCTCTAGCAGTAGAGTGAATCCTATTATTAAACTATAGCATGGATAAGTTCTACGGTTTATAGTTGTCATACCCGTTAAACATATTCTTAAACCCATGATCATTCAAAATTCACTCATTTAATTAAAGCTAGTATCTTTTGACCACATTTTATTGGAAAAAAAAAAGTATCACTTGACCACAAGGTGTGTGCGCGTGTTTCTTCTTATATTTTTATATTTGCCACAAGATTCGGAGTCATCCCTCGAGTATTACTGTGGGTTTCTTCTTGGTGAAAGAGCATCCAGTTGTAGACCATTATAAGGGTTGCATGTCAATTAAGAGTACCTAAGGACCCCTGTAGATAAAACATCACATCTACAAGACTGCCAGTCTGCAAGTTGTCTTCTTTTACTGTGCTTTGCGGAGACTAGGTCTATAAAACATGCATGTGTATTTTCAAGTACCAAAGAAAAGATGAAACTATTTTAACATTTGGCCAAATAAAAATGATGGAAAAATCATTTCTTGTCACATAAAAACAGACAAGAAAATGGCCTCATAAATAGACATATTCTCAGTGGGTAGGAATCTCATCATAGTGCAGATCATAATTAAGCACAAACCTACCCTGCAGAAGAGCTTGAATTTTGTGTAGTAAAGACTGTCTGCCATAAGTATTATAGCATGCTGCCGCTTCATGGTGAACCACTGCAATAAACACAAGGATCATAACACATGTAAGAACAATTTGATGTCTTTGGACATATTAACATTTAAGACCATGTTCTCAAATGCTTTGCTAGTTCCCATAAAGGATAGTGAACACATTTTGTGGCAGAGTCGTTCAGTAAAAGGGCACCCATTTACAATTTAACAAACCTCGATTCCCGACCATTTAAATATGGATGGATGAGTTCATTCACCATTATGCACTATTGACATGCCACCATGTCTTCTACACAATTTTGAATACAAGGGCTAAAACTTTACCATTATTGAAAAAATTACCAATATATTTATATTTGTATGTCTCAAAATTGCTGCAAGAAATTGTGCAGTTGCACCTAAGATGTGCACAGATTACCAAAATTACAGTGCTTTAGATAAAAAGAAATAATTAAAAGTTCATCTTACACTACTTAAGTACTTATAAAACTTCAATAGTTTTTACGAGTAAAATAGAAAAAAGTTCACAAGGCTACTAAGGTAGATGATATTTGACAAGAATTATAGAACAACACTAAAATTAACACAATTAAAAGCTAAGGATATAAACAAAGAAAAAGGTTGATGAGACATTGACGAGACAAGAGAATAATAGAGGGAGCAAAAAAAAATGAAAAACTGCCTGTGTTGATGATGAGTAGTATTAAATACTTGTACCGCTGTCAAGTACACAAACTACCAGAATAAGACAATGACGGGTTAATAAGATGATCAGGCAATGACTCATAGACGGAATTTTTTCCCCCTTTTTTGGCAAGTTATACTTACTCATACATGTCTCAATTGTGACTTGAATCCTAATCCTATACCTCCCATTTTAGGAGTGACAGTAGAAACCACTCAAGCTAACATCCGGTGGAATGACAGGACATAGGCATGAGGAAACAATGATATGGGAAGATAAAGAAATGATAAGCCTAGGTGTCAAAACCATAACAAGTGTACGGTGTCTACCCATCCTCATCTCAATCACCGACTCTTCATAAAAATGTCTTACCAACCCTTTTGCAGTTATCCTCCTAGATGGTCAAATATGCTATAATCCTATAAATAAAAATGGTCAAAACCTGGTTAAAAGTTTTTTTTTTGATAAGTCAAAATCTGGTTAAAAGTTAATATGACTACTGTTCATTATTGAGCAAAGTAATTCAGCTTCTTTCTCTATGCTGCTTCAAACATCTAAAATATATTTTTGATATCTGAACAACCTCCCATGCAATTACCAGTCATAGAATATTCTCATGCAATCTAGGTACAAGTTATGAAATTTTCTAGTTTACTACAAGCGAATCTGGATCAAATTATATAGTAAGTTAAGCCCCTTTCAGTGTCTTGATAAAAATAAACATAGTTCCAAGGTCAAATATATGCCTACAATTATTGCTTAATATTCCATTCATATAACCAAAAGGACAGAGAGGTTAGAGCATTTATTATTGTCATAATAACTGGCAAAGCTACAAATTCACAATGTAGAAGTTAAAACGTTGGACCATGTTTGGTTGTTTGGAATTGGAATGGGGAACTGCAAACTAAAATAGTAACTGAGAAATGATAGTGAATAATGCAGATTTCGATCCTTAATTAAACATCTGAATCTTTGTTAAAAACATCACCAGATCATATAGAATTTTTTTGAAACTTCTATGCGAGATTTTTTCAACTTCTAGATTTGGTTTTAGGTTAGATTCAAGGAAGAACAAATAAGTCCAGTTTGTCCATCAAATGAACAAGTCCTATGTACTCTTAATACTCCCTCCATTTAAAAATAAGTGTCCTTTCCTTTTTGGGATGTTCCAAATTTCCTTCAAAAAGACAAACTATGAAACTACAGAATTTGAAATTTTCCTAAATTATCAATATTTGAAAGTTTGCCAAATTATTAATGTAAATCTTTAATTTTGAAGGGTTAGTTATTGAATTCCAATGGGGTAGCATCCACTAAATGCATGTCCTTTAAAGAGTTAAAATTGACAGAAGTGATACGCGGGTAATAGATCACTACATGAGAAACAAAGTTGTAGAGATTAGAAGGCAGGAGATAGGTTAATAACTATTAAAATTGCATTAGATGCAATAGTGTTAAATATAATAAGTGCTAATGCACCGCATGTAGCATTAGATGAGAACACAAAAAAATTTATTTTGGCAATCATTAAACGAAATAATACTATAAATAGTCAGGAAGTATATTTATAGGAGGTGACTTCAACAGGCAAGTAGGATGAATTCTTGTAGGCTATGGATTTTATTTGGGGGGTGAATCTAAGAACCTATAGGATCTATGTGAAACAGGATAATTAACCTAATTAGAGAATAAGTAACCTCTCAGAAAATTATCGGGAAAAATACCACGGCAAAGACTTTCAATGCAGATCCTCCACATGAGATAGAAGATCAGTAGGCTGAATTATAACGAAGCATTGAGAACCCCTGTTTCCGGAGTGATATGTATTTAATTATTTTGGAGAAAAATGAATACGCCTATAGTTTTTATATCAAATATATGTACGTTTGAAAGTTTATACCTGCGAACCCTTCCGGAAGTCCTTATATTCAACTTCCGGCATCATATGCGGTGAATACCTGCCACCTCCATGTGGACCCGGATCCACAAAGCTAGAGAGAGAGAGACAGAGTCAATAAAAAAGGATCAATAGGTAGTATCTTATCTTTTAAATCACAACATATTGCGTTTGCAGCATACAGAATGTATACTGTTAACTGTGTATGGTTTTAGAAGTTGGTCAACCACCTACACTAACGAAAGTATAAAAAAAGCCTTTTATTTTCAAGAGAGAGAGGGTTTTCCTTACCAGTCAATAAAACTAACATTCGTGAATATTAGGTAGTTGTACACATAATCAAAGTTATGCAATGGCACACAACTGCAATAAATGAAAATAATCAGCTAATAATTTATCAATGCATTGACACACACAGGATTACAAGGAAAACTAAAAGAAGATAACCTAATTACCTATCAGATAGCAAAACAAACTGCTGATTATCAGGGTCTTTAAGTGCATTTGCCAGAAGTCTCCTCTCTGCATCTACCATGGAAAATGTTCCCCAAACAACCTACATTTTAATTATATAACCAATTCACATATCTGAGTAATTTTAGAGCCATCAATATAGTGGCAAGCAAAAAAAAAATTTGCTCGTTTTAAGATAGATGAGATTGGGGAAAAGGTAAGATTGGATACAAGCATTCTTCAAAAATTCAGAGGATGAAACATATGTATTATCCTTCTTCTGGGCACTTTATTTATTATTCTTCCATGTTTCTATGTTTGGCACTGAGGATAATACTAAATTGGAAAGCTCCCCAAATGGTCTCTTACACTATAGAAACCTTCTTTCCATCGGTTCAGAGAGAGAGAGAGTTCAATAAGGTATGATACTCACTCCTATGTTTCGATCAAGTATATATGGATGATTGAATTAAGGATTATCCATATCTTCGCTTGTCAAAATATTCAGAATAAAATAATGATTTCTTAATAATCTTACTCAGATGGCCCTAGAAAGGATAAATCCAACTATAAAATCAATTAGCTATCTTCAACCATAATCTTATATACACAAGATGCAATACCTCAGCAGGACGTAAATACAAAAGGGTGAAGAAAAAGACAAAAAATATGCTTTCATTATTTCAGAAAAATCTGACAATTATGTAAATTTTAACAATTTCTATCCATAAATTGCGACTGCTAATTATGGCCAATAAACAATACCTACAAAAGAAGTCATGCAACTGAATACATCTCTTAAGGACATGTATATAGAGTTACGGTATCGCCAGGAGATTTCTCATGGGGATTCTGATTGTTGGCTTTGGAATCCTAATTCTCAGGGTCGGTTCGAGGTGAGGTCTTTTTTCAGGTGCCTTTCGGTTGGAGATGGTGGTCCTTTCCCTTGGAAGTCTATTTGGTGCTCCAAGGCTCCCCTTAAGGTGGCCTTCTGTCTTGGGTAGAATTTTAACCCAGGATAAATTGAGGAGGAATCAGGTGGTGGTCAATCATTGTTACTTGTGCCTTTGCGATGAGGAGACAGTTGATCATCTTCTGTTACATTGCAGCATGGCTAGAGCTTGTTGGGATTTGATGCTTGGTTTGTTTGGGGTTCCTTGGGTTATGTCTTGTTCCTCTAGAGGGTTGATTGAGGCTTGGAGAGGTTTCTCAGCTGGGGCCCTCATTCAGGATGCTTGGAGGGCTACGCCTCTTTGTATTTGGTGGTGCATTTGGCTCAAGAGAAATAGGAGATATTTTGATAGAAAAGAGAAGCCTATTTCTATGCTTAAGTTCTCCATTATTTCCATTCTTTTTTGTTAGGTTTCGGGAAGAGATTATAGATCTATTGAGGAGATTGTTTTCTTTTTAGCCTCTTTGAAGGTTTGAGCTGTTTTTTTGTCCTTTTTGTATCTTTGGGATTCGCTCCCCTTTTGAGCACTTTTTATATAATTTTACTTATCAAAAAAAAAAAAGGACATGTATATAGATATTGAAGCTTGAAACCAGCACAAATTCAAAATACCAAGACCCTTAAAATTTTCAGGTGGGATATATAATTTATCTGAATTGTTCCCATATTTACAGAATATATGCAAAATTAAAACATAAATTTGAAGATGTATTCAAAATATATGCAGACAACACAACATGACTGGAAAAACCAAAACACTGAATGTCATATTGGATGTTGAGAAGGCTTACAGGATGGTTAGAAAAGAAATTGCACACTAACATGTTGTGTTATCTGCATATTAGGTACCCGAACGTAGAAGGGTTGTTAAAAGTCACAAGTGATAGGACATATAGACTTGATACAACCCCGAGTGTAGAAGTGTACTAAAAATCATCTCATTAGAGGCTTGACATAAAAATAAGCCCCTTCACCAATAGGTCAGTGGCCTAGCGGTACCAGGCTCCTACTTTCCAAAGGGAGGTCAGGGGTTCGAGCCTTGGTGGAGGCATGTGAGTACCAATTAAGGAAAAAAAAATAAAAAATCAAGCCCCTTCCCCTACCCTCAGTGAGGTTTGGAAGTGTCTAGGGGATGATGACTTATCTTGCCTAACAAAGTCGTTTAATAAGATAATAACAACTAAGAGAATGTTTGATGAGAGACGCAAAAGTATTTTAGTACCCATATATAAAAATAAAGGGGATATACAAACTTGTACTAATTATCACGGTATCAAAGTAATGAGTCAAACTGTAAAACTTTGGGAGAGAGTGATTGAAGAACGACTAAGATAAAAAATTCTATTTGGATTTATGCCGGGGAGGTCAACAATGAAGGCAATAGGCTATTTATTCATTGAGGCGACTAATAAAAGGATAAAGAAAGAAGAAAGATTATATGGTTTTTATTGATTTAAAAAAAATGGGTACCTATACAAAAAGAAAAGAGTCGGAAAGGGAGATATTGACGTGATAAAAGATATGTATGATGGAAGTATGAATATAGTCTGAAAGACTATGGACGAAATAAGTGAATTTTCCATTAATATCGAATTACATCAAGTCACTCAAGTGTTAACGTAAAGCTCATCCTTTTTTTTTTCCTTAGTTTTGATGAACTGATGAGACACATTCTGGATGACATTCCATGGTGTATTTTACTTGACGATGACATTGTTTTAATTGATAAGGTATATGGCAACTGTTGAATTGGAGGTGTAGAAGGAAGCTCTAGAATTAAAATGGTTTAAGAGAAGTAGGAATAAAACAGACCATATGGAACTTCAATAAAGCTAGAAATACAAATAAAAATGGAGTGAGGATTGAAGATCAAGGGACACCAAAAAGTGAACACTTCCACTATTTACTCTCAATTTTTCATAATGAAGGAGAAATTGGAGATGATGTTAATCATAAAATCAATGCAGGATTGATTATTGTATGATTAGTGCATCCTTCTAAGATTGAAAGGAAAGTTCTGTATAATAACCATTACAAAGTTATAGAATATAGGACAGGATTTAGCACAGAATATAGGACAACTAAGAAACAACTAATTCACAAAGTTACCATGACAGAGATATGAATGTTGAGATGTGCAGCAAGACAAGAAAGGATAGAACTAGAAATGAACACTTTCGTGAAATGGTTAAAGTAGCACTCACTGATAGAGAAATTATTAGGGTTTTGTAGGTTGGATAAAGTTTTACGAAAAAAAGTTCAGGTATTAGGAGGAAAAAAATAAAGCAATCAAGGGAAGAAGGTCAAGAAGTAGAAAAATCTCAAGAACATTTGAACAAGAATTCTTAGACTTCCCCGCCAAGGCTTTAGCTCTAGTGGTATCTCCTCATCTTCCCATATGGATGGTTGACGGTTTAAGTCCCCATTGGGGGACATGGTCAGTGTGTTTGTTCTTACCTATCAAAAATAAATAAATAATTGGAATCTTAGACTTGACCCCATAAGGTTAGGATGCATCATACAACCTTCAATACTCTATAACTCAATTCCAAATAAGTATCCTTGATCCTAGAAAATAGAACTATCTCAGGCTCAAATTAACCTAAAATTAAAACAAGAAGACTCAAATTAAGCCAAAAAATTGAATAGATGAGATTCACCAAGTGAGCTACATATGAAAATCCAAGTTTGTCTCTTCTTACTCTGCATCAGCTAGTGGTCTCCCAGACTTAGATTTTGATTCTTGAGTTACTTCAAAGGATCAATACAATGTTAAATACTGACTGTAATTAAGCAGTTCAAAAAACAATTAAAAGAAAAAGAATATAAAATATTATAGTGCCCTTTAAAGTTACTTGACCCATAGATACACTGTATCCTTTAAAAAATAAAAATAAAAAACTTTTACATCACACATAGAGAAGGGAAAAACAAGGCCATTATCCCATCAAATTACAATTAAAGAACACATGAAGAATGAAACTGTTGCCAATATCATCATATACAGTTCAAACTCAATTTAATTTCAGAGAAGTCCATGTACCTGCTCACTGCGTATCTCCCGACCAGCAAAATAACGACTCAAATGTACTGGTTTTTCCCTAGAAGCATGTACATAAATAGTAAATCTATCCTCATGACCCTGCAGACACCATTTAGGAATTATGACATTTTTATTAAGAGATCAAGTGCTGAGCTAGATGAGGAAATAAATGCCTTTCAGTTGAATTGTAACAACAAAGAGCGAGGCATTGAACAGAAACCCAAACAATATCAACAGTACATACATTTCAACAAAACAAATGGTATGCTTTGCAAAAACCAGCCCCTGATCTGGCACTACAGTAACAATAATGTTTCAAATAGACAAGATCAAATGTAGATTAGTCCCATCTCATCATCTCTATGCCATCAGATTCAAATTAGGCTATGCATACATTTTTTCCCCTTTAAATGAGGGAAAAAAAACTTTATACCGTCTCTATGTCATAAGTTCCAAATGAGATTTGATAGACCATGCCCCAACTTCAGTAAGGTAAGAGAGCAACCATGATCTTCAAATTTGGTCCAAATATATTTTTGGAAAGGCAGCAAATCTTGGACTCTGTTATCATTGCTAGTGAGTATATAGATTCCATATTGAGTAATGGAATGCCGGGAGTTGCATGCAAGCTAGACATAGAGAAGTCATACACGATCACGTGAGTTAGAGCTTCTTGTTGTATCTTCCGGAGAGGATGGGTTTTGGAGAGGGGTGGAAGAGATGGATCCAATTCTATATTTCTACAGTGAGATTCTCAATTTTGGTGGATGGGTCTCCTTCCGATTTTTTCAACAGCTCATGAGGCTTGGGACAGGGAGATCCATTGTCTCCCTTTCTAATCATTAATGTGTTGGAGACCTTTAGTAGGTTGATGAAGAGGGCAGTAGAGTTGGACTGTATCAAAGGCTTTTAGAGTGGGCAGGTAGTACTCTAGCCTGGAGGTTTCTCATCTTCTGTTTGCTGATGATACTATAGTTTTCTGTAATGTGGATGAGACTCTGTTCAAACTTTTGAGGTGTGTTTTCAGGCAGTTGCTGCAAATAAATCATCAGAAGAGTGAGGTTGTGCCAGTGGGGGAGGTTCGAGAGACCCTCGTTAGCTAATATTCTGGGTTGTAACCTTGCCAGTATTGTATCTGGGTTTACCTTTGGGGCCGTCTCTGAGGAGAGACTCCTCCTGGGAGCTTGTGTTTGAGAGCTTTGAGAGGACACTAGTGGATTGGAAAAAGTAATATGTTTCAAAGGGTGTGAGGTTAAATCTTTTGAGAAGCACCCTTTTGAGCCTTCCAACTTACTTTATGGCCCTATTTCATATGCCCTCTTTAGGTTCCATCTTGTGAAGTGGAAGCAGGTTTGTAGGCTTATTTAGATTGGGTCTGGGTGTTTAGAGGTTGGATTTGTTCAGCGAGGCGTTATTGGGCAAGTGGTTGTGGAGAGCACAATCTTTGGAGGAGGATTAGTCAATGCAAGTTTTGGGGAATCTAGGGGTGGATGTTATTCTTTGGAGGAAGGGGCTCCGACTGGGGTGGATGTCTGGAATATCATTCGGAGGGGTTGGGATGAATTTTCAAAACATATCCGATATAGAGTGAAGAGTGAAATAGGGCCGGCTAGGCCATGCTTTTATTTATTTTTGGAGTTCAGGTCATGTCAGCATTCAAAGAAAGCACTCTTGAGGCTTGGAGAGGTTGTACAGTGGGGCGGCAAGCCCAAGATGCCTGGAGGGTTGCACTCCTTTGTTTGTAGTAAGGCTTATGGCAGGAGAGGAATATGAGATCCTTCACTGGAATGAAGGCTCCTATATGGGCACTTAAGTTCTATATTCTTGGTTCTTTGGGGTTCATGGTCTACTTAAAACTCTATGGGGGATTTTGTTAATTTTGTGGACAGTCTGCAGGCATAGTGGGTTTTTTTGGCTTTTGCGAAGTTGTATTTGGGATGCGCTTCCCTCTTGAGCATCTTTTAAATGAATCTCACTTACCAAAATGTAGTATGCAACTCCAACTGGCAACTGCCAAGTCTATCCTATCTCCATTCTAACGGTTGAATTCATGAATTATATGCAAACAGGACTCCTAATGCATCGACTTGACCGACCATTAAACTCAATAGAAAGCTTAGCTACCAAACATCCGTGTTAGTGTGTTACCAAACGTGTCATCTTTTGTTTGCCTTGTCTCCTTATGTTATTTGTTCAAACCAATTCAAATTCTTGGAGCAACAAATGTTCCCCTTAGTTTTCTCTTCAAGCACTATCCACCCAAAGACAACTATTAGGCACATTTACTTCCTGCCAATTGGCCATTTTTAACAGAAGAACAAGCCACCTTCCCGGTAGCTGTTCACATCAAATCAGACATCAATGGTGCCAAAACTCATTTAATTCCATCACCTTTTATTGATACAACTTGAAAGTGTCTCATATGCTTGCAGCCCAAAGGTCTAATCTTTTCATAATCATGCATTCTTCAAGATCACGCATATAAGAATGGAAAATTTCAAACTGAAGTCATGCGCCAATATTTACAATGTTTATTAAATGGTTTCAGTTACCATCTGACTGGACCCTTTTCATGTAACCACCTTCGGCAAGGTTATATTGACCTGAACATCCACTAGTTTTGCTATTAATTCACCTATTGTGCTTATTTTAACCATTTGAATGGGACAATGATATACGTTCGAAGCACGCCAAAATTTTAAAACTTGCATAGATAACAAGGTTGTCATTAGAGATCTTAATTCATGGGGTCTGGATAATCACATGCATATATTTGATGTTTTAAAATCAACATGGGAATTAAATCTCAACAAATGTACAATTCAAAATAATTTCCATACAGAAAGCTCCACCAATTCACGCAAGTATTGTTGAAAATAAATATAAAACAAGATATAAACCCAGCAGAATCAGGTAATGAAAGCACTAATTGGCCAGAACCAAAATGTGTGTGTGTGTGTGTGTGTGCAAAACTGCAAAAGTAAATAATCATAAGAATTGATGAACAAGAAATAAAACCTCACTTGAAAGAACTTATCCCACAGCATTTCAAAAGGCAATGGACCCGGTGTCAAGAACAAGAAAGCAATTTTCGGGTTCTTTGATTGAAAAGGTGTCTTCAATATTTCCCTGATTACAACCTGAGCTGCTGTCTCTTCGTCTGATAATTCTCTGGAAGGAATAGGTAGAATCTTTTCGTACATGGTGCAACTACTGGAGGAAAAGATATAGCAAGCTGCAGAGCTTCTGGGTGGATAAATATAGGCTCCGAGCAGAAAAATGCTCACCAAACAAACTAATATAATAACCCATATTGGTCTTTTTAAATGTGGCCGCTGGCGGTACCCAGATGTGCTCAGCATATCTCTTATGCCAAGCCTCCATGCACGAACTGTCTTCATTTAGGAAGAAGGCATCACTGCAGTATCTCAGAGCATCCTTCTAGTTCTCCAGAATCTTGGACCACTGTGGTCTTAAAAATGGAGAGGAAAACATATTTCCTTCAATGAACAACTTGAAGCATGAAATTCAAAAGTCTGAAATTTTAGACAAAGGCAAAAATACTTATTGAAGAAATAAAAGTAAGTGTATCAAATATGGTGCATTGTAAAAAGTAAAAATAATAATCTTTGAGTTATAATTTGAATACAAAAATTAAAAATAATTACTATATATAGTAAAATCATAAGCAGCACGCGTAGCTTATATAAAAAAAAAATCAATTATCAGCACAAATAGCTTTTATGATACATGCTAGTTATGCATCTGTCAATCCTCAATAACAGCAGCAGTATGGGTGATACATTAAGGGATTAATACTAGAAAATTTACTTGTTTACTTCAAATGGGTATTAGAATATTTAGCTTCCAATTGATATGGGCATTCGGCATGAGATCATACATTAAACCATGAACAAAAATCCCCAAAAATTCAACACATGCCAGACATGTGAAACCGATCAATCCAGTCCAAGAAGTAACTGAACATCATAACTAATACTATACTACATTAATCTAGTTTCGACTAATTCAAACAAATTCAAATTTTCTCACTGGAATTGACAACACAACAATTTCAGATCAAAGAACTATTGAATATAATACAATCCGTAAAGAAATTGACCGAGAATATGAAGAATCCTTAAAAAATAAAAGAAAAAGAAAACAAACAGAACTCCACGAATTCAAACAAAGCAAATGTAAACGAATCTCATTGAGAATGACCTTTTGAAAAAGCAGCTAAAGGAGAGATCCCAGTGTGAGTCTGATCGCAATATTCAAGATCTACGACAAAAGAGAGAAAAAGTAGAGAGAGACCAAAAAAATAAAAGACGATGGATCTATTGATGAATTATACTGTAATAATAATAATAATAATATATATACTATTATATAAGCAGCAGCAGTAGTACGTTGCTCCTCGTCGATTCGTCGTCTCTCCACCTTTGCTATGTGTGTTTATCTCTCTACTTTCTCTCTCTAGAAAAGTAGTACTACTGCTCTCTCCACAGTGGGTTCCGTTGATTCGCTTGGTTCCGAAGTAGGAGAGAGAGGAATGAGAACATTTCAGCCTAGTAATTTACTCCACGTATGTCTCGTAGCGATTGTCGTGAAATTGACTTTTCATTTCTTCATTTTTTTTTTTTTTTTTCATTTATAACTGTAGTACTACGCATTTATTACCAGTATTCAAAAACAGACCCGTTTAACATTAAATATCTCTCATTTTACTCTTACTCCATATAAATTGGAATAATTTAATGGGATTTGATTTATTTTTTACAACTTTTCAAGCCTATATTACACAATTAAGACATATATATATATAAACCACTACGCAAATTAATTATTAATACAAAAAGTATATTATTTTGGTCCATAGTGCCCTCAGTCCCTTTGGGGCAATTTCTTATTGTTATAAAATTTTCTTAGTCTTAATCTATTTGAATTATCGTTGTTATTTATTTTAAAATTTTCAATTAAATAACAAAGTATGATTTGTGGTTTTAATTATTTATTCCCTTTAGAAAAATGTATATATAAATAAGAATGTTATTGGCATTTACTCCTATATAGTAGTAAGTGTAGATCTAATATTTCCAAGTTGACTCTACTGTAAGTATTCAGAATCTGAAGTGATTGATTACCAAGTATGTCTCTCATATGTGATTTATGTAACCCTTTTTTTTTTTTTTTTTTGAAAGGTTAAGCAATGCATAGGTAGAAGAAAACTGTACATGGAGGCCTTTGGCCATAACAGCCCATAAAGGGCAACAGGCACAAAACAAGAAGTCAATGGCCAAAACAAACAAGAAACAAAAGCCCAGACCAATACAAGCCTAATAACTTTGTTTAACAAACTAATAAAAAAAGCCGTTAAACTAAGTTGTCAAGCTTTCAATCCGGTAGCAAAGCCCTAAATCGGCAAAGGGGATCCCTCTGTAATAGCTAATCCGGCGGTCTCGGAGGAGGGCGACAGCATGCCGGAGACAAATTCCAAGACTGCAAAATAGATCTAGATACTTCACAATCCTTAAGGCAGCGCAATTGGAGAAGACTTGTGATTGTATTGTTGACCTTAGTCAACACCAATCTCTGCGAAGACGATTTGCCTTTGAAGATTCTATTGTTACGTTCTTCCCATACGTGATACAACATGGCTGAGAGGCATATCTTCCGAAGCATGTTGATTGGAGAGCTTCCCTTCCATCTGTGGCTAATCCACAGAATCATGCCCTCCCAAGAGAAGAATGGTTTGTAGAATTTGCACCTATCTTGTATGAATTTCCATAATGGTGAGGAGAAGATGCATCTGAAAAAGAGGTGGGAGTGGGATTCAGGCTCATAATTGCATAGAGCACATATGTTATCATGACTAGCCATTGCACTGCTGTCGAGGGTTGGGAGTCTGCTTTGGGCTGCCAACCACATGTTGAATTTCATCCTTGGAGTTGTGGGAGAGCACCATACAAGGTTGTACCAAGCAATTTGATCATCGTTGCCTGCAAGATGGAGAGTGGTATGTTTGAGATTAAAGGTACCAGAGGGGATGCTGACCAAATTAGCTTATCTTTTCTGGTTGAGCATGGCTGAGGAAGAGCAAGAAGTTCAGGAACAGCATTGGAGAGTGAATGGGGGAATGACCATGAGTTATTAACTATGAATCTACCCACAGGAGTGAACTCATCAGCTCCCAAGTTTGAGAAGATGTGGGAAGGAAAACGTAAGCTGAGAGGACCTGCTGGAGACCAATTGTCCAACCAAAAGTTGGTATCCATTCCATTGCCGATGACATGCTTGATGATGAGTCTAGTTGGATGCCTTAGCTGAAGAATTTTCCTCCAGCTCCAAGAGCAAGGCTGGGGGATCTTCAAGCTCCAAAAGCTTCTATTCTTTATGAGGTAAATTCTGCACCAATTGATCCATACTCTGTTTGAATTGTCTGTATGAAGGTCCCAAATATATCTGAGAATAGCAGCTCTATTTGCAACCTCGAGGTTGGGGATGTCTAGGCCACCTTCAGCTTTGGGCCTGCAGACATTATACCATGCAACTTTTGACCCTGTAGATTTCAATTCTGGTCCTGACCAAAGAAATGATCTAAAGATCTTGTTCAGCTCATTGATTACACTTTTTAGGAGGACAAAATACTAGACCAATAGAGCTGAGTTGAGACAAGGACAGCTTTAAGAAGCTGTAAACAACCTGCATAGGAAAGGGATCTGGCAGACCAGTGAGAGATCCTGTGAGTGATTCTTTCAATGAGAGTTCTACAATCAGAGCTTTTGAGGTTTGTAGTGATCAGTGGAACCCCGAGATGTCTAATGGGCAGACTGCCCTTCTGAATGCTAAACATATCAATGATTACTTCTTCCATCTGAGGGTGAATGCCTGCATAAAAGATTGAGCTTTTTGACAGGTTAATTGTTAGTCCAGACATCAAGCAGAAGAGGTCAAGGGCTGATTTCAGTGTGAATATGGATTCAATGTCTCCATGGCATAGTAAAAGAAGGTCATCAGCAAATGATAGGTGGGTGATACGTTGCTCCTTACATCTCCAATGATGCTTGAATCTTGGAGCTCGAGTAACATAGTTGCTGATAATGGATGAGAGAGCTTCAATAACAATGACAAACAGGAACGGGGAGATTGGATCTCCTTGTCTCAACCCTCTCTTCCCCTTAAAAAACCTCTGAAATTCTCCATTCAGAGCAATTGTGAATGATGGGGATGAGATACAAGACGGGATAAGGGAGATAAACTTCTGAGGAAACTTGAGAAGAGTGAGGCAGTTGTAAATGAAGTCCCAATTTACAGAGTCAAAAGCTTTCATAAGGTTAATTTTGATATCACACCTAGGAGGGCCAATGTCTTTGTGATAACCTCTTAAAAGCTCATGTGCAAGGAGGATGGAGTCAGTGATCTTTCTGCCTTGGACAAAAGCTGTTTGAGTAGTGTCAATGATATGAGGAAGGGTAAGTTGAAGCTTGGAAGCCAACAATTTTGCTATACACTTGTAGATGGTGTTGCAGCAGGATATTGGCCTGTAGTCATTGAGAGATGAGGGATTTGAACACTTTGGAACAAGTGAAATGCAAGTGCAGTTGATCTCAGAAAGGAGCTTCCCATTCCTGAAGAATTCAGAGATGGCCTTAATAATTGAGTTCCCCACAATGTGCCATGTCTTTTGGAAGAAGAGTGCATTATAACCATCCGGGCCTGGAGCCTTGTCCCTATTGAGTGACAACATGCAATTCTGGATCTCTAAGGGAGAGGGGGGAGATTCCAGAAGGCTGAGCAAGTTGGAAGGCAATGATTTGGTGATGAATTGGGATAAATCAGATGGGCCATAAGTAGGAAGGATGGAACATCCTAGTAGTCTCTGAAAGTGAAAGATTGTTTCTTGTTTGATGGCCTCTAGATCAACAATGTCCACCCCAGCTGCAGTTGTGAGACTAACAATTTTGTTCCTGTTATTTCTGGAGGCAAGGGATTTGTGAAAGTAAGGAGAGTTGGAATCTCCTAGTTTCAACCAAATCATCCTTGATTTTTGCCTTAACATGTCCTCTTGAATCTTCCCAGCCTCAAATACTCAGCAATAAGAGCCCTCTCTAGTTGTCTTAGGTGGATATCATTTGGGCAATTGTCAAGATCAGTTTGACATGAATCCAACTCTAATTTTACAGAATCCAGCCTTGACCCAACATCAGAAAATTCTTTCCTGCAGGTTGATTTAAGAATGTGCTTGACTCTTTTCAATTTTTGGACTACCTAGAACATAGATGTACCCTTGATATGGGAGCTCCAAATTCCTTGAACAGAGTGGTAGAAGAGTGGGTGGTTACTCCAAGCATCGAAGAACCTGAATGGAATGCGCTTTCCTTGGAAGTTGAAGTTCATAGAGAGTAAGATTGGGCTGTGATCAGAGATACCTGGGGTTAAGCACTTGCATTCTGAGAATGGAAAGGACATACTCCATTTACAATTTACCAAAGCTCTATCAATCTTCCTGGCTATGCATGCATCCCCCAAGCTTTTGTTGTTCCAAGTATACAATAAACCATTGTATTTCAAATCCTCAAGTTCAGCCTATTGAATGCAATCTTTCAAGTCAGACATTGAAGAGCTCCACTTCTGTGAACCACCAAACCTCTCATTTGAACTGGTTATAGCATTAAAGTCTCCCATGATGATCCAAGGGGAGTGAGAGAATAAGTTTGAGTGGTTGAGAATGTCACTCCAAAGAGTCAATCTTTCATTTGCATGATTAGAGGCATAAATAAAGGAGCAGAAAAATGACACATCATGACTAATAATGGAGACAAAGCAGTAAATGGCTTGCTTGTTGATGTTAATAATGCTGAGATTAATGGAATTTGAATTCCATAAAATCCAGATTCTCCCAAGATGGGAGAAGATGTAATTATGGGCAATAGACCAATGAGGAGCTATGAGATGATGGATAGCTGCTACATTATCATGAGACACTCTGGTCTCTACAATAGATATAAGATCCAACTTATTTTCTGAGATAAGTTTCTTTACCCCAGCCTTCTTGGAGGGCTGATTTAACCCTCTCACATTCCATGTTATAAAGGAAATCATTTAAGGTTAGAGGTAGAAGAACCTCTAAGATATCTGTGGCCCTTTGGAGGGTCTGAAGATATCAAAACTGGGCTATGGCTTTTACTCTCTCTTGCAACCTTTTTTAAGCTTCGAACTGTCAATTTGTTAATTGTTGAATTTGCATTTGCAGGAGGAAATGATGAAGATGGCTCACTCATGCTGCAGCATTGTCTTGGAGATGCTACAATTGCAGAATCTTGAACTGCAGGGGAGTTGGGATGATGCTGCTGGTCCAAAGCAATGTGTGTGTATGGGGGAGATACCTCATTCCTGGACCTGCTCAGTCTCGGCTCTTAAGGGTAGGTTGATGGAACTTCCTTACATTCAGATGAGGTGGAACATGGCTGTGATGGGCATGTGAGTGGAGGGGTATGATGGAGATTGCATGTAGAAGGAGTGACTGTGCGTGTAAATGAAAGTTTCTTTACACAGAGA